AATCTTGCCAGACTGAATCTAAACTTCCCAAGCCAGCAAGCAAACACTGCGAATTCCTTAGTGTGGTGCCAGCCTCAGCCTCTTCACCTTCCCACGCTCTTTCTGGGGGCTAAGGAAATGCTTATCTCCCCAAGCGCGGCCTTCACCAAACCATCCTCAGCCTCTTCACCTTCCCACGCTCTTTCTGGGGGCTAAGGAAATGCTTATCTCCCCAAGCGCGGCCTTCACCAAACCATCCTCAGCCTCTTCACCTTCCCACGCTCTTTCTGGGGGCTAAGGAAATGCTTATCTCCCCAAGCGCGGCCTTCACCAAACCATTCCATCACACTCAAACAGCAGGTGATCAATAGTCACAAATGTGCATGTGTGGCTGTACAGTGAAGCTCTCAGCTGCTCCAAAGAGTCTGTCCTCCGTGTTTGTCAGCTATGGTTTCAGTTCTGTTGAACTTGGGTTTAGCACTCTTCAAAAATAGCACTAAACCTATGTTCAGCTCCTTTTGTCAGGGCAAATTTTGAAGGTGGCTAAACCACCAGCCTAGGCATCTGTCAAAAATCACCTCCTCCCCACCGACAGCCACATTTCATGCTAGGAAAGTGACTGGGGAATACCAGGCTGGTTTGTCCAGTTTGGGAAGGTTTTCAGTAGCCAAACAGGTGTGTTGAACCTCTGAAAGGCTTAAGCTCCTATTTCTCTCCTTCATCCCTCTGTACTTACTCTGGTGGGCAATAAGGAAGCGGTCTTTTTTAGTATTTTCCTACTTTATTTGGTGCAGTTGCCTGTTTCTTTCACAAATCTCTTTTTGTTGACAGTCAAGAGCTATCTTTTCCCACACCTTCTCAATGATTACATCCATTGCCAAATATACTTTGCCACACAATTATAATCCATGCAGTGATCACAACAGGATCAGGTTAGGAGCTAGAGAAGCAAAGTTTTCAATCCAGGAGGGTCAAACCCCCACAGAAAGACCTTGGGCCAGACCATGGCTGGGTTCATGGATGACACTGAATCATAAAGCATTTCTATACTTTTGGGAGTGCATGGTTGTAAGCCATGATTCATGGCTTGTTGAAATGCATCCACCCTGGGGTATCTGCGGAGGAGAAGTAAAAAAAAAAATCAAGATGGTGACAACTTGAGCAATGTAACCCATGTAAACAAGGGGCTTCAATTGCACAGTTGTGTCCAGCGCCTTGACTTTTTTTGACACCTCCCCCCACAGACATCCAGTGTCAGCCCAATCAGTTCTGGCTTATTTACCTCGCTATATTTTAGCACTGTCTGTTGGCCAACTCTTAGCACAACTTGAGATTTAGGTCACCCTTGAAACTGAGAGAAAACAAGAGCGATCAATTAGTAAATAATTATCTTTGCTTTGCTGAAGTTAGGTCAGTTTCCTAAGGCACAAAATGGTGCACCTGGCAAACAGAAAATGACACACACAAACACCCCACCCCCCATACAGAGGTGTGATGTAACAGGTGCTATTGGACTGTTTCAGATTTCATTACAGGTCTGAGAAATATGAAAAGACTGTCTCTCTCTTTCATATGGTCATAAATTGCTGTACAGAATGTGTTCTGTAAGTCCCCGCATCTCCCCAACACTCTACCTTTCAAATAAAGGCGCAACTTCTAGTGTTTGTTCTGTCTCTTTGCTTTTCTACAAGAGAAGTATTATTTTGCTGAAGTAAGATCTTAGAAAGGGCTGCGCAGTTGAGAGGCACATCAATGACTTTGGAGAAACAATGAGGTAAATTTTGAGTTAGCCAATCATTCCCACTGCTCTGCAAGGCCAGTGCTGCTAAAGACATTGCATTGCATAATCTGATCCTTTCATGATTCAGAAGAGAGTCAAATGTGCCCCTTGAAATATGAGTAGATATGAAGTTTCTGTCCCATTTCTTCAAGAAGGATGTTTACCAAACAGAATCCAAGTTACTGGATTCCTAGTACTTAGGTGCTGTATAACTCTCTTTCATTGCTGGCACTCAAAACAGAAAAAAAATTAGAAAAGGTTGGGAAAGAAAACAGCTGGCCAGACCATAATACTGGTGGGCATTCACACAATACCCATAATCTGACTGCTGAATTAATCCTTGTTGTGAGTTGTGTGAAACATGGAACCATAAGTCCACAAAATGGATTGATTTTCCACAATGGATGAAGAGACAAAGATTAGTCTTAATCACGCTTAGCAAAAACATTTGAAAGACTTTCCCCAATCTGGTGAAGGGTGTTGTATGAAGGCAACCTCTGATTCAAGAAAAAGACTTGAATTCATTCATCACGCTAAGCCATAATATGATTGATTGCTTTTGGCTTAATTTATTACAAGCATGGCAAACCCTGGGTGTGCCAGGAGGTATGGGGGCCGATGGTGAAACATGAACAATCCTGAATTTGCACAAATGCCATGACTTATGTACCTGCTTCACACATCAGGATTCAAACACACAATGGCACCTTGCAGAGGTGAATCTACCCCGTATGTTAAGCCTTTATGAGGCTCAGCGTGATATGTGAATCTAGCCACTGTGGGCTGTAAGCCATGTTTCATGGCTTGGTGCATCTGGTGAGTAGGCAGCATACAGATTGGTAGAAAGAAATAATAAATTGGTGTAAACAAATAATAAAACACATTTTGTTTAACTATTATTTGCAGAGTAAACCACAATTAGCCTGGTTCACACAAACTGCTAAGTTCCTGCAATTTACAAACGACATTGGCTGGAGATTCACATAACATGCTAAGCTTAAATGAAACCAACCATGTGGAGCCAACATGGGGTGGTAGTGAAGATGCTGGACTCACAAGATCAGCCATGAAAAATATAAAGGCATAATATGATGCATGAATCCAAACTGTTATCAAATTGTAAGAAGTCATTGGGATTGAAAAAAAAAAAACTTTCTTTTTTCATCATTATTTGCAGAAGGGAGAGATCTATTATATCAGCATGATTGAAGCTTCTTTGACGGTCCTCTCGCAAGGTAGGTGCTAGGGTGACTTCATTCAGAAAATCGCCAATCTGGAATCCGTCTCTCCCTCAGAGAGTGGCACAGAGCTAAATGCTGGGTTGCACACCCATTGGAAATGCTGTAGGAGAAGGGCTGGGTTAGTCTAGGGTAGCCAAACATCAGGAGACATCTGGGTGATCTTTTCAGACTAACGCATTTTATTAAACCTACAGGTCTAACCATCTTCAAAACATATCTTCCCCAAGCCCACATTAGTGGTGGTGTTTTTTTTCACTGGCAGGGGACATTTTTAGGGAACTCTACCAATTTGACCTGCATTAAAACTGTAAGGATATCACCACTCAATACTAAAGCAGAATAGACCTCAGGCACGGGGATCCCCAGTTTATGCCAGCATATTTTTGTGACAGTTCGAGGTCTGGCAGATTGCAGATTAACACAGTTGTCTGGCTGTGTACCACTAACCAACCATATCTTAGCCTAGCCCAGTGTTTCTCAACCTTGGCCACTTTAAGATGTGTGGACTTCAACTCCTAGAATTCCCCAGCCAGCAGTCCACACATCTTAAA